ACTTCCAGCTCGCCCGACCCAGCACGACTCCACAATATCAGCAGTCACAAACGCTCCATCCGACGGCAAGATATCGGAGAAATAATTTTTTTCTTCAATCTCTATTTGTGACCGGTTTATTTGTCTCCCCACTCCACCCTGAACTTCATCAGTTGCTCTGGAACTCATGTTGACTTGTTTTTTTTTCTTCTCCCTCTTTCCTGACTCATTTTCCTGGACATTTATCAACGTACATATTTGCTTGTCTCGCTCGGGGTCTTTCTTTATACCACCCTATTGTATTGTGATCTTGCACGGGATAATATGAATCACAGTTTGTTTGACCCGAACAGATAAATTTTACTTTTCCAGTAATGGATAAACCAATCAGCCCCCTCCCCCAGGAGTCTACAAAAATGACCATCCTCGCCTCCGCTTGCCAAGTTGAACTATTTTGCTTCCATACTCTCCGGGCCTTTCGCATCAGTTGGAAAACTGGTAAAATGTGACGTGTATGTTTACTATCGAATGGGTCCGCATCGAGCGAAACTCGTTAGGAAAAGAACAAAACAACCGTTTACACGCGAATGTTCCTATGGCTGTGAGACCCAAACCTGACGGAGTATGTGCAGATCAAAAGATTAAGCAATGCCAACAGATTGGGCAGTGTTTCTATCAGAGTGAGGGGAAACCGGATGTTCATCCCGAGTACGAATCCGCTTTTTTACGAGACACTACGAAAAATTGATGCAGTAATTCTAATAAAAAGTGGGAACAGTATGGAATATGTCACTCATTTATTTGAAATTTAGCTGTTTATTTTTGCTACCTCATCAACTGGGTTGATGCGAAAAGAGCAAAGGCATTTCCGTCTCCAGATGTGCACAGATCTTGTGCTGTTGGAGCGTTTGTACCATCTGCTGCTACTACTCTTACCACTCTCCAGCGCAAATGACGGGTTTTGTTGCACACTTTGGATAAATTGGCACAGATTTATTGGTTTCGTCGATCTAACCTGAACAGTTAGTGTTCACCAGTCCTTCTGAAGGACGACCTGTCTCCGAAAGCCTCAGTATAGTCCGAGGGGTGGGTGTCTAGGGTTACAGCTGGTCACCCTTCCTTCACACCACGAAATGCTCCCATACAACCAAGCGTCTCAAATCGACTCTGCTGAGGAAGCCCTACTCACTGCCTTCTCGTGGTGGGGGTGTTTTGGCACCAACAATTGAGAGGGCAAAAGCCGACAGCCGGGTTGGTGGAACACTGGCGGTTCACCTAAGTGAGTTGGCCAAAACCCTGATTCCAAACCGACCAGGAAGAGGCGTACGAAACACCAACACCTTCCTAAGTATGGCAGTGGTCACCTTGAACGTTTGACTCCATCCGACAGGAAACCTAGCAGTATCGTGCTCTCGAGCAAATCATGAACTTTTTTCTTTTCTATGAAGATTGTTGTTTGGCACACAGTCTGAATTCAGACGCGTGTGAACTACATACACATATCTGTCTTGGATCAGTCACATCGACCGCACAGTTGAAACCTTACGCCGACTCAAACAGCCGTATATCGTTAGTTAATCCGCATATTGATGGCAACTTAAGCGGTGGGTGAATTGTCTTAGCATTTACCTGAGCTGGTTGTCAGGAGGGAATAAAATCACAAATTCAAGGACTGTCGGGGCATTCATCTACACAGAAGCATCTGTTCATAGCAGCGTGCCGCGAATACTTAGTGTGAACGGGGCATAACATAGGATAGCATTTACCGGAATTTATCGCTGTGGAAACATTAGCAAGTATAGCTCCAGATCAACTTGGTGATTTCTGCTAAATACTTTATCCCTCAAAAGACTGACGAAAAACTCTGGTGTGGGGATCCTAATGAACGTGATTTTCAATGACACTGTGCTCGTCACAACTGGTTCCGTCACATTCTTGTTTCGCCGAACCTCTCTTGACACTTGTACACGTCTTTTTTGGTCGTCCCACGCACCGTGCGTCGTTCTGTTTTACAGTATGTGTTCTGGTTTTATTTTCCGTTTTGCTTACGGACTGTCGTTGAGATTGTATCAGTCCTATCGAATCACGCGAGGTGCGTTACTCCTCGGTTGCAATCGATTGAGGTCAGAATAAGGGTACACACACGTATAGTGAATGCCTCCACCCGAATTAGGACTGGTGAATCAAATAAATGCACAATTGTGATTGCCGTCCTTCCTTGCACTGGTGGGCTATTTCTGTCTCGCCACCAGCAGTCACGGATCTTGAGGGCGTGACGTTTTGTTACCTTGATTCAATTAAACGAATTGTTCGAGTGTGAAACATCAATAGTTAGCCATTCCCCTTTTTCTTAACCTACACCATCGTCTTTGCGTTATCGACTGCCGTCTCTTGCCTGGTCTGTGCACACAATTCTGACTGGTCGGCTCGCTGGAGGGCAAGCTCATGTTCATGGAGGAGTGTGTATGTGTGGTTTTTTGTCTTTCCCACATGCATGTTAGCTTCAGCCTGGACCCGGAATTGTGTATGCCACACCTGGTTGTTGTTTGACCCGGTACTTGCTGACAACAAGAAACGATCTGACGGTCGGTACTGACCGATGAACCACTGTGATCCCCAATAGCCGTAGTATCCTTTCGGGGGCTTCTGACATGCCGCGCATCTATTTCCTGCTCTTCTGCACGTGTCGGTTGTTTTCTTCCTTTAGTGCACTGGATGAAAACGCTCTGGCAGATACTGGATGAGGAGAGTTGGAAGTGTCGACTTCACTCCCATGCCCTTAGCTCTATTGTGCTGCAATGAGTGTTCGTTCGGCGAAATGCAGTTTGAACTTTTAGGGATGTTATCGATGTCCGTGTGATTCAGGGGTGATCTATTGTTGTCTGTGTAAGATTAACTGAGATCCCTATTCCCCTGTCTGCTTACCTTCTGATGAGGATGTGGAGGAAAGAATATTGAACTTCTTTGTTCTTTATGAAGTTGACACCAGGTATCAGGTCGTTAAGGTTTTCTGTGGGATTGGTTTACCAAGGAATTTTCGGGTTTTATAAATGTTACATGAGAACATCAGAAGATTTGGTTTGATCAAATGGTGAACTTTGTAGTGTGAGGATAGTGATCTTTCATAAAATTTGTAATTTGGAAAACACAGCGATGTCGGTACGGGTGAAAATAAGCCGACGTTTCGGTTACCGTAGGTAATCTTTATTAAGACGATTTAACAATCGAAAGTGATCTTTCCCTAATATTTTCGTTTTCGTTTTACTTCCTTTTATTTAATATACCCAGATACAATTTTCAGCAAGGGGGAAGCGGCCAATCAAAGGGCTACCATTCAACACAAAATGGGGAAAGTCATACGGTGAGGGTGAGATTGGAACAACCATTACATCGCGCCACCCAAATTGACGAAAGGAATCGTAGAGCAAAAACAAAGCATAAAAGGAGTATGAATTGTAATGGAGAGACATCAAAAGGCTTCGAGTTCAAGGTACTAACTTGTACAAGGTGGCACTATGTGGTCCGCGAATCAGTGAATTCATTTTGATTTGTCTTATGAACATAATAAAAGCAATTGGGATAACGTGACTCTTCACTGATACACATGTCACTTCGTCTAATCTGGTTATATCCAAAGTACAACTTTACATAATGAAACTGTCTATTTCTTACATTGTGGAGTTGTGTAGTGACACTGAGTACCTTCTTCTTGCCTGTGCTATACCTTTCTTATGACAACGTCTCACCGTAAACACACACAACATAGACTACTTGTGTGGTCACCGCGTGTGCTCACTTTCACTTTGGGCTCGTTTCCGTATCCCTTCTTTGAGCTTTATGTTCTTTGTTTCGGTTTATTCCGAACGCTTGTTTGACCCGTAGTCGGCCAATTAGGATTCCGTCAGGACAGCGTCTACAAATTGGTGATCCCTGATTTGTTTTTCATTTTTGGATATATCCAAAAAAAGGTTTCCTAGGTTGGATTAAAGTCTCCAGTTCGCAGATATCATATGTTTTTGAATCCGTCTAGTTTTTGGTTTTGCTTTTATCTCATTTATCTGAACCAGGTCAGATCAGGTCAGGTTGCACAGGACTGATAGTGGCCACAGGCCAATCACNTCCAGAATTCCTTCGGTGGTGTGCTCTCGAGTGTGCGTCCACCTCTGCGATTGATCAGTTTCTCTTTCTATCTGCAAGCAGAGAACAAAAGTGACTTTACTTCTCGCCGTGTCGGTGAGAGACTTTTACTGTGAAAGTGTTTCATATCACACAAACATTCTACGTCAGGAAAAACCTCCAGCCATCTGGCGTCCAGAACTCTTTCGAAGATTTGGATGTGTAGTGACACGCCACTTTCACCTTTTACCTACGACTTCTTTTCTACTCGCAACGAGCTTTTGTTTTACCGGGTGCATCTTACCTGTTTACGCTCACCCGCGGAATTGTCACTTGTCCCGGTGAGTCACGCTGCATCGCTACACGTGTAAACCTTCCACTGCAGGTCTCATCCTATAAACCGTGGGTCACGAGCTATCCGTCTTCTTACTCGTTCGGAGCAATAGTCGTATTGCTCTTTGTCATATTCGATCGTTGAGGTAAATTGTGTTTGGTTATCGTAGATAGTGTTAGCTATCTAAAGATGTTTGGCTGCATAATCAGTTCAGACGGTAGCTTATTCCAACTTTCCACTACCCTATTGCCAAAGAAATGTTCCCGTAGGTTCAGCTTAGAATGCTGTTTCATATATTTGAGTTCATGTCTACGCGTTCCTTGGTGGGGAGCCTCAGTGAAGAAGGACCCCGGACGTAAAACCAGCAAATTTTTCTTAATCGTGAATACTTCGATGAGGCCTCCTCCTTTTTTCTAGTGAAAAAGACCTAGCGCGTATAACCTCTCTTTGTATGTTTTACCCCGAATTCCCTCAACCATCCGTGTTGCTAATCTCTGGACCTTCTCCAGACAGGCTGCGTTCTTTTTGTAGAAGGGCGAACAAGCAGAAAAGAAGACAAATCCGGAACTGGGAATATTGGGCGCAAGCCTCGAACCCGAGTACTACTTCAAAACTTCAAGACTCAAGCCTGAACACAGTATTCTAGGTGAGGCCTCATGATGGCTTTGTAGGTGGGTGTAAATACATCTGCTTTCCTACATGAAACTGCTGACCTTAGTCGAAACAGCTGTCGTCTTGCCATTACATTGGGTACCCCAAATGTAATCTGCAGTTACTACGACTCCTGGATCCCTGGCACTAGTTACAGTGCTTACTTCAAATTGGCCCCTCTCTCCTAGAGCCTTCAATGGTTCCTGGGTTCTTGAGAGCAACTGACTCTTTGCTGCATTTAGTGGTAATTCCCATGTATGGGACCCCCTGACCACCGTTGCGATATCCTCTTCCAATTGTAATCTTCTACTGGATCCAACCATCTTTACATCATCAGCGAAGACGAAGCAGGATGAGCTGGTAATTTTTGCTAGATCATTTACGAACAGCAGAAATAGAAGCGGGCCTGACACCGACCCTTGTGCCACGCCACTAGTGACATGTAGGACTAGTGACGTTTGTTCTACCCTGACGCAGAATGTCCTATTGGTCAAGAATGCTGCCATCCAATTGTGTACTGCTCCTGTGACTCCGAAAAACTTAGCTTATGTAGAAGCAATCCATGACTTACGGAGTCGAACACCTTACTGAAATGTAGCTAACACTTCTACTGTTCTGCCTTCGTCTACCCTTTCTGTGACTTTGTCTAGGCAGCATAAGAGGTTATTGGGGCACAACCTGATTTTCATAAAGCCATGGTGGGCCACGCTAAGTAATGCATACTCTAAAACGTGGGTACAGACATGGGTCCTGATCAGCTTTTCCATGCACTTGCATAGAATACTAGTTAAGCTAACCGGTCTGTAGTGCTGAAGGTTAGATCTAATACCACCTTTGTGTAACGCCACAACAACGGCAGTTTTCCAGTCACCCGGAAGCATGCCCTTCTTCAGAGACTTTTGAAAAAGCACCCTTAAGGAGTCTGCTGAAATTTGGGCAAGTGGTTTCACAACGGCAGGATATATGCTATCGGGACCCGAGGCCTTATTTATATCCAAATCCCCCAACAACGTTCGCACATCCACTGCAGATATCTGCATCTCCCTTATGCTCGGTGAATGAGAGGTCGGGGATCTAGGCTCTAATGTCCTGTTATCTTACCTATGAACACTAGCGAAATAGTAGATTAGTGCTACTGCCTTGCTGTGGTCGTCTGCTACCACCGTGTTGTTTTCCAGATCCAAGGCGCCAATGGAGTCCCTTAAGTTGCGTTTCGATTGTACGTACCTGAAAACCCCTTTCGGTTGCTGCTTGACGTTTTCCGCTATCTTTAGTTCATATTTTCTTTTTTCTACTCTTATGAGACTGACTGTCCTATTCCTCTGGACCGTGTAGTTTGTCCATGCCAGCTGGGTGTTAACCTCTCTGTAGTGTCTCCAGCTTCTTTTCTTAGTGCTCCGCTTATTGCTGGAGACAAACACGGAGGCTTATTACAACCTCTCCCAAATGTAAGGGGGGTGAATTCGTCTTGGAGTTCCCGTAGGTTACTTTTCAGTCTATGCCAGAGAGCCTCTACTGTGATCTGCTCATTTTCTGTTTCCCATTCTAGAGTTAAGGCTCTTTCCTGCAGGCTACTCGTGTCCATTTTGATGAATCTCCTAACTTACCTGCTAGGCACTTTGGATTCCTTTGAATTGAGGATCACTTTTATCACTAGCTGATCACTCTTCCCATAGGTGGGTTAAACGAGCGACCGTCTACGTTCCTTTGGTATTTAGTAAACACCAAATTTAGGAGCGATGGATTTTGCCCAGTCCTGAATCGGGTGTTTTCCTTCATGTGTTGCAGGAGGGCTCTAGAGTGTATCCATCCCAGAAAAATTTCCCCTAGTGTACTTGTAGTGACCACGATTATAGGAAGAAAAGGTGCAATCCACGAGGATGTTTTCCGCTCATATTTTCTTCACAATCAACTCTGACTCGGACTGTGATATTTTCTTTGTTCTACTTCTGTTTGTTTTACCGAGCACGGTTTTCCGCTCAGGCGTATATATAAGCTGGGTCCTGTTCAAACCCACGCCACACGTGTAACACGCTTTCGCTCTGCTACTGCATTTGTTGCTTGCTTTGTTTAGCGTCACCTTGGCACGTTTCGGTACTATCTAGTACCACAATTCGCCAATAAACGTCTACGACTCCCACGAGTGTTTTTGTCTACTTCGGGCAACGAGACACTAGGCGGTTGCGCGCACTTTCAGACTCGTAAGAAGACATACCGGAAGGCCGTCAACTCCGGTTAGCTTCATACTCTCCGAGCAGGCCTCTGTGGTCCACTGGATGCCAGGAAGGTTGAAGTCCGTAGCAATCACCAGTTTGTGTTGGGACTGTGCTAGTGCATCCTGTACGTCAACCAATTCGCACTTGAGTTAAGCGTAACCTAACCAATACGAATCCCGAATTAAAAACACAATTGATCCGCAATGTTCTACGGTACTGAATTAACGAAATCATTACAAAATGTACAATAAAGCAAACCTCAAATATTCGGCCAAAAGCACTCGAGCAAGCGAGCCAAATAAGATGTCCGGAGAGAGACAAACAGTTGCTCCCGTTCTCAAATCACGCCAAATTCAAATGTACCGGGCATCCAAATTAACAGATGAATAATGATGTGTGGTGTTCGTGACCGAGAAATGTCAATATAAGAGCAACACACAGATGAAGTTATTTCACCATAAATCATTGTGGGTTCGGAAGGATTTTCAAAAAATTCAGCATGAAATACACCGGCCGCCAAAATCCCTCCTGCGCTTGTCTGAGTCAAAGGGTTGGCGCAATTGATACAGGGGGAA